GACAGTACTATTCTGGAAGTGGGACAGAGTAAGAACAGAGCAGCTGGATTTCAAAACTGGTTGTGAGCAACTATGCACTGAGATTTCAACCTTTTTTACAGGCCCACCAAAATCTTATAAAGGTCTAACAAGTCTAATCCTTTACATAACAGGTTTACAGCCAAATACTTCAATTATTACAAGTTCACTGGTGCTACGTGAAATGTAAGAAAATTCGCGTGATTTTATATTGTAGCTCCTGATTAATCCACTTGAAATAGTAAATCTGCCCTTAATTCCTAGCTGCATCATTTGCAGACCATGTAACTAGAGACTTAATCATCACCCATGCTTGTAGATCATCTTTCTTAGCCTAAATGTATGATTGTGAGATATTTTGAGATCTTTCCAAGGCAAGTATTATTCAAAACTAATTTATGAATAGGAGTACAATGGCTATAATTTTGCTTTGCTCTTTGTCTCTTAAAGGAACATACTAAACCAGCTGCCCTTTTCAGTAATCTGTAGAAATAGAGCTGAATAAATTGTGTAAAAATAACCTGCTTTTACACAGGGATGCACTTGCCTCATCTAGGATTGACTGTCTCTCTGCCCACTTAGAGGTGTCCTTAAAATTCTTAATTGTTTTTTAATAGGATAAATCTCATAATCAGAGTTTAAACCTAACCTTTTCTCATGATGGTGATGTTAAAAAAAATAGCACACAGAAAAAAAATTCTGTGTGACCATACTATACATCTCATTCTGGTGTATTAGAAACGTCTTGCATCCCTCTAAGTGTTAAGTGTTAATTTGAGACCCTCTTCCTGTCAAAGTTAGCAAATGCACATCTCTTTTTTAGCAATAGATATCAGGCAAGGATTAATGACTGCAATCTTGAGCCTACAGGAGAAAACTAAACAGGCAAAAAAACCCTCAAAGTGCCTTAGACATCCATCATCTTGGACCTCTCAACACTTGACTCTTCAGTTATTCTGAAAGACATCAATCTCTCTAAGAGGCAGTTCCTGATCCACAGAACAAGACAGAACAATGGGACAGAACACACTCCCATGGCAAACACAGACATCAGCAAATAAGAGCAGCTCTGATGGAAGTTGCAACACACACAGATGAGTTTAGTAATAAGGATTGAAGGAGGAAGAGGGAGGCCAGGATTGGGATTTTTGTTTGTGTTTCTGGATTGGCTGCTTGTTTTCAGCCTGCACTGGAGAATGTGGGTTTTCACATGTTTCTGGTTTACATCAAGTTAATAGGAATATGCTACAGGACAGCTCATCTGAAGAACACCATGCCCTGAGGTGGTAAAGTGAAAGCTGCTCCAACTAGTTTCAGTCATCCAAATTGGTGGTGTTCTTGTCTAATGGTGAGTGGTTTTGCTAATGGCAAGGACACTGGGATAATTAAGGAGGGATAAAAAAGGAGGACTTTTCTAAAGAGGTGATTGTTGTGGGCTTACATAGTTGGAACTGTTATTTTTGTCCAGAAATTTTCTTGCTTTTCAATGCATTGACTAAATGGCTTTCATTGCATTTAAAGTTCTAGTTGCATTTAATTGGGCGGGAAAGGGTTCTTCCCATAGCTGGAGAGACATTGATGACAATGTATCCAAGCTGGTTTTCTAGTGTGACACAGCCCAGACACGTGTTCAAGTTCAGGGTGAGTAAACACTAAACTTAGTTCAAGATTCCCGGTCAGAAGGCTGCCAGTCCACCAGGTACTAAATTAAACAAAACAAAACAAACCCCAAACCGCCCAAGCTATTTTACGGAAATAGATTTTGCAGACTTACCTTTAAACAACTTACATGTAATACATATTAAGTACAAAATATGGAACGTGTGATGAGTTACATTCAAACAGTAGTTCGTCAATCACACTGTAATTGTAAAGCAGGCTTTCGTTGAGGGAGGCTGTATTTGAAAGGCGAATTAAAAGAACGCAGCGAGCTCTTTGCTTCAGCTTGTGTTAAAACGACGCTCTGTGGTTACAGTCGGGTCTGTGGCCTCACTGTTGAGTTTTAATGACGCTGGTGACCGTAACCCCGAGCCCGCACCGAGCAGGAGCGGGACGAGCTCCAGCTGAGGGGCCGCGGAGGGAGCTCTTTCGGCGGGGACCCCCGGCTAGGCGCTGTGCGGGGGCGGGACGGGCCGGGGACAGGGACAGGACGGGCCGGGGACAGGGACAGGACGGGACAGGGACAGGGACAGGACGGGACAGGGACAGGACGGGACAGGGACAGGGACAGGGACAGGGCCGGGGGGGGGCACTGTGGGGACTCCCCGCGCCCACAAGCCCAATTATGGCCGCGCGCGGGGCTCGCGCGCCGCCGGGCCAATCACGGGCAGCGCCGCGGCCGCGCGCGCCCGTCCCGTGACTGCGCGCCCCCGCCGGCGGGACGGGCCGGCCCCGCGCCGCGACAGGCGGGGACAGGCGGCGACAGGCGGGCCGGGATGTCGCGGAGCGGAGCGGCGCTCGCCAGGGCGCTGGCCGGAGGGGCCGGCGGCAGGTACGCGGGGCGCGGTGAGCGCGGGGGTGACAGAGAGGGGCCGGATCCCCGGTAGGGAACTCGCCCGTTCTTTGCCCGAGGCGGCTGCACGGCTGCGAGCGCAAAGAAACTAAACACTGAGTGAAACGCCCGGATGGCTTTTGCTTCACATAAGGCGACGTGTTCCTTCTCCCCTGAGCGCGTGGAAGGCTGGCTGCAACAACTCGAGAAAAGGAACACGCTTTGGAGAAGAGTTAAGCTTGTAACTGGAATTAAAAAGAGCAAGCAGATGAGAGGGAGCGCGATTTGAAATGTTAGGAGAAGAAAAATGGTTACAGCAGTGCTGCTGTGTTTCCTTGTCATACTCATGAAAACTGTCAGAAAGTGGAATAGATGTTGGTTCATGATGTCAAATTTCAAGCAGTCATTTGGCATCATTGTTACTGTGCAATGGTATAATGTAACCTTGGGGCACACTTCTTACTGTGTATCCTTTGTGGTAGAATCTTAAGGATGTGTTTGCAGTATTAAATTAGTTCGGACCTGGTTAACAAAAGCGCTGTTTTAAAAAGTCATTTATTTGAGTCTCGACGGCAAAATCCAATTGCTGGGAAGGGTGTTTCGTATAAGGAAACACATTAAGTAACTAGCTGGACACTAAGTTTGACAATGTTTCTGATGTGAGCTGCGAAAGCCTTGGCAGCCGGTTTTAAGCAATTGCTGGGTCAAACCCGGAGCTGTGTTATCTGTAGCCTTGAATCTGGAGTTGCTTTGGCTTTGCAGTTGTCACTGGTGTGCACGTTGTACCTGCTGCCAGCTCAGCAGAACCCTGGCTGTGCTGAGCAGCAGACTGCAAGGGGCCAGGGGTAAATAGTCTCTTCTGCTTATTCAGACTGAGGTGCTAATGAGGATACTTGCTGGTACACTCATTTTTTGGGATATGAACAGCTGTCAGCAAAAACTTTGAATGGGATCAACTCATGTCTCACAGACCATAAAATGGCCATCAGATATCAGTAACCTGATGGAAGTATCAGTTGGGGTACAGTAAACACAATTGCCCTGGCATGCTCTCAGCACTAATGTCAGTCTTTACAGTGAGGGGTTGGAGATCCCTTTTTTCAAAAATACATTAACCTTTAGGCTTAGAAAACTGTGTAGCTATTAAGAAAAAAAAAAAAAAACAAAACAACAAAAAAACACTGAATATAGATTACTTACGTGTGCATGTCATACACCGGAAATGCTTCTCTTTCAGGTCATGGAGGTCGGGTGGTACTGTCATCAGTGCCCAAATGCTTAGGGAGAAAGCAGCGAGTGGCAGGAGTGGAAGAAGGCAGTGAGAGCAGTGTGAGGGGGCATGGTTCTGTTAGTGGCAGAGGGCAAACACCGAGGCGGCAGGTGTGTCTGAATTCTAGCATGGACTTGGCTTTTCTTCTGTGAACCCAGGTCAGGTTCACAAAAACAGTCCATGGAAACCCACGCTTCTGGGATTTCTTGCAGAGATCTGCTTTCCTGAACTGGGACCAAGCCCAGCACATTCTCACAGCGCCTGTTATTCTTCAGATAAAATCGGGAGAGGGATGGAGTCTCACCAGGCTTGTTAGCATTGTAACCTCTTAACCCTGTCTGCCTCGAACGGCAAAATAATGGTGAAGAGGACATTGTCTTACAGCAGCCAAGGGATTGTTTGTAGGGGTTGTTTTTCAGCCTTGCAGCCGAAACAAGTTTAGATAAAACTGTATGAAACAATAGACTGGCACAGCCCTACAATAAAAACAGACCAAGAGACCAGTTGGTCACCAAGAGACCTGGTGACCAGTTTGGACTGTGTGCTGTACATAGCCCCAGATAAAGTGATTTAAATCTGCTGTGCAGAATGAGGTCCGGTCCATACATTTGAACACTTTCTGTGACTTGGGCTGAGGCAGCTACGATGTTACTGGCACCCTTCAACTTCCTGTCAAAGCAGTTGTCAAAGCTTTTCCTTAAGTATTGTCCAGTCTGTGTGGAAACAAAACAGACTATGACCACATCCCTTGAGAAACAGTTGCAAACATTTGCAGAGTTGTTGTCTAAAGGCTTTTAAAGTGGACCTATGCTTTCTTAATTTTGACACAGTACTTCTGTCCCATCTTAAATAATTTCTTTTCAATTGCAGTGGTTACAATCTGTGTTTGTCACTCATCTTGCTTCATATCACAGTTGCATAGTTGGTTTTAAAAAAGTCTATACAGATTGTTTCTAACCACCTGCTAATGATGATTATTTTCCTCTAACTCAACCAATTTATTATTTGCCTGTATCCCAACACAGTGACCACATAAGCTGATGTGCTCAGTCATAGGTTACTACTATACTTCTTCAGAATTTTATGTTGATTTTTTTAAAGAACATGTTCAGTTTAATTGTTCAAAATTGGTAACTAATTTGCTAGACTACTTTGGTGGTTGGGAAAAAAAACGTACCTAATGCATCTATCTGTTCACTGTGTTTAAAAATCCACCAAACCAACCAAACAGACCCCCAAAGAAGCCTAATGCTAAGTAGGGAAGTTTGGTTCCATTTCTGATTATGTGAATTCTGATGTAGAGTCCTGACTGTTTAATTAAAGAACAGTAAAAGACCTGGGTTACTCTTTAGCTTATGTTTGTAGAGTCATTGAGGACAAAGAGTAGCATTTTTAATTTCCTGATGCCAAAAATCAGAACTTTTGAGGCAGCATTTGGCATTTTTATCTGCTTGATCTCAGCAAAATCAGTAATTTAGCAGAACAGAACTGTTAATCACAATGAATATTTTTTAGATTTTAGTGTAGATGTTCACAAACAGAGAACACTGAGGTACAATCTTAAGGTTATTAGTCCTTTTACAGGTAATTAAGCTTTATTTATGAAAACACCGTGTCCAAGGTTTTCATTATATTTTCTGAAGGAAATTTGGAAAGCTGGGTAACAATGCACCTTCTGAACGGACTTTCAAAATTAAACTGTCCTTTTAAGAGAAGGATGGCACCAGAGTTAGACTTTGTATCTCCAAGTGAAATCTTCTCTATTTTGTGTATTCCAAAAGGGATAAGTATTGCAAACCTTGATTTTGCTATTAGGAAAACCTGTTCTGCAAATTAAGTGCATATGAGACTTGTACATGAACTCAGGCTGCCATGTGTTCAAGTACTTAATGAGGGCCTTTGTGTTTCACTCTGCCAGTTACTTTTGTCATGACTGGGGGCTATTTTTAGTTTCTCTTAAGGAAAAGAAATGTTTGACAGTTTGTGTACTGTTATGAGCCTTTGCTTTTCCATCTGACAGACATTTTCTGGAATGTTATACAACAGGTTGTTTGTCCCATTTGAATGTGCTGTTATGAAACACATCTAAAAGCATTTTGCTGATATGAAACACATCTAAAAGCATTTTCACTGTTTCAGGCACTTGGCTTCTTGTGGTGTTCTGATGACCAGAACTTCTCCTTTGCAAGCACCTGCAACGAGCCAGACTTTTTCAAGGAATTTCTTCAACATTGCTGCACCACTAGTAAATAAAAGAAAAGAATATTCTGAAAGAAGAATTATAGGGTTTGTATAAAACTGTGGAAAGTGACTTTAAATGCTTATTGCTTTTAAATTTGCTGTAATTAATCTGAAACACTAGAAGTTCAAAAGGAGTTAAAACCCCCAATCCCTACAGACACATGCCCCTATGACTCTGCCCAATTGGAACATAAAAAGGAGTTCTGATTTTCAGAATTTGTAAAGGTAGGATTTACCAGTCTGAAACTGAGTATAAAAAAAGTAGAAACCCAAAACCCTTGGCCCACAGAAAGAAAGAGCAGAAATAACTGTTCTGTTCCATGACAAAACAAAACCAACCTTGAAAGGGAGTAATACACTGATAATTTCATCTGGTAAAATATGAATAAACCAAGAGGTGTGAAAACTCTGTTTCATTCTGTCCCAAATCCATGCTAATGTTTGCTCGTAGGTTATATTGTAGTTCTCAAGATTTTCTTCTTCCTTTAAAAGAAGAAAATTGTGTGATGAAGAAACTAAGACACATAGAAAAAGATTTTGAAATCCAGTTTGCCTTAGTGCTAGTGGGAAAATTCCAGTTCATTTAACGATGCTGGGATCTGCCCCCAGTCTCTGGTCCACAATAGCATGAATTACTTTTTTATTAGCATAATTTTTTGACTGTACTTAACATTCCTTTATGTGATAGTTCTTGAACTGCAACATATCTGCATAGTCACTAAAAAAAGGCCTTTGTCCAAGAGTACTCACTGCTGAGTACTGTTGAACATATGCTTCATTTTAAAGAATTGAAGCCCATGTTTAATCCCATCTGTTCCTGAGTCAGAAATAAAAGTTAAAAACCATTGCTAATAATACTTTGCCACGTTACAGTAGAATCAACTAAAATGTTGCTATTATGTGTTTCATCTGATTTCAATATCCTGCCTGAGCAAGGGAGTTGGACGAGTTCCAGAGGTCCCTTCCAGTGATGCTGGAAGGTTTTTCTATTGTATGTATTTTTTAATTAAGCTTTTTAATTTGGGCTGATGTGAGGAATGTAGTGTTCCTCTGTTGAAACCATATTAAATATGGTACTTGAGTTTTGATACACCTTGTCTTAGTAGCCATGCAGTGTGGATTTTTTTTAACATGGAATGTCTAAGATCGACCTCAACGAAGACACAGCTGTGCTGAAAAAAAAAGTTTCATTTTAAATGCATGCACATTTACATGACACTTAAGAGAGAGTCATATTCACTAACTTCTTTAGAATTTTGTGTTGATTTTTTTAAAGAACATGTTCAGTTTAACTGTTCAAAATTGGTAACTAATTTGCTAGACCACTTTGGTGGTTGGGAAAAAAAAGTACCTAATGCATCTATCTGTTCACTGTGTTTAAAAACCCACCAAACCAACCAAACAGATCGCCAAAGAAGCCTAATGCTAAGTAGGGAAGTTTGGATCCATTTCTGATTATGTGAATCCAGATATAGAGTCCTGATTGTTTAATTAGAGAAAGAACAGTAAAAGACCTGGGTTACTCTTTAGCTTATGTTTGCTAACTTTACTGCTGGATGGTGTGTTGTATTTTGCTTCTTTATGTAAAGACTATCACCAGTTTACTACTTTCTTTTCCTCTTAATTAGCAAAGCTGCATTTTTAATCTCCAGAACCAGTGGTAGTTTTCAGGTGACTGTATGTTCACCTTCCAACTGCCCACACCATTTATACCATCTTTGACACTTCAATACTGAATTAAATTTAAAATACCTTGTAACTGTAACGTTCCTATTTCTGTTTCCAGGTATTCTATGCAAGAAATGTATGAAGTTGTTGCTGTTGTGGAGAATTACAAACTGTTTGTTCCTTGGTGTAAAAAGTCAGACATACTCTCGAAGCGCTCTGGGTACTGCAAAGCACAGCTGGAAATAGGATTCCCTCCTGTAGTAGAGAACTACACATCAGTTGTTACCCTAGTGAGACCACATTTAGTTAAGGTAACTGTTTTTTTTTTCCTCTCCTAACTTTCCTTAACATTTGTTCTTGAAATTTGAATATTCCAGGAACATCCTGTTTCGAAACAAAACTGATGCTGGAAGTTCTTTCTGTGGCTCAAAACTTGTGTTGCTTTTCTTTAAGGATTTTAGATAAACTGGGGGAGAATTTCAGTGTGCTTTTAAAACATATCCCACCACATGGGGGAGAAAGAGGAATCACTTTTTAACTTGCCTTTGCTGGAGAGGATGGCAGCCATTAATGAAGACATAACACTTCTGATTTGTATTTTGTTATAATTTTGCCCAGGACTCTCTAAATACAAAGTTAGTACTTACTTTAAAGTTATCTTTGACAACACTAGCTTCTGCTGCCTTAGCAAAGTTGCTATTTGTCATTACTTTTCTTCTCACAATTTTAACTAATTAATATGAAAAGCCTTAAACGTAAGTGTAGGATCTGCTGAAGAGCTTGTTATTCAATATATTGATGAGAAAATGGAAGAGCGGATTTAAAGTCAGTTTTTTTACAATTAATTTGTTCAGAAGAGGAACAGTTGTATTTCTCCTTTCAGCTTTTCAGTAATTAAGAGAAAAGTAGAAAAGTGTCAAGGCAGAAATTTTAAATGATGTCTGGATCTTCTAAGTATTTGCTTGCCTTATATGTTCAAACCTGTTTTAGTAAAGAATGGCTCAGAACAGATTCCTTGCAGCAAAACTGCCTCTCCCTTCGTGTGGCAGATCCTGAATGTTTTGGAGTAATTAGTGCAAATTACAACAATTGGTTGCTGTTCAAGATAATTGTTTAAATACTCTTATTTCTAGGCTTCCTAATAAGAGACACTTAACAAAAAAATGAGTTTCTGAAGTACAGGAAAGATGTAAATTGGAAAAGGAATATGCAAAGTGCTTTTATTTAATGCACTTACTGATTCTGGAAAGAAAAAAATATATTTTTTTTCCCTTTATTAAGAAAGTTGAGTAGCTACAAATGGGAAATGTGTTTCACATGCTGAGAGCTTTCCTCTTCTACTCTTCCCTGACAAGACAGGCTTTTTTCTTTCACACAGCTATCAGACTGGCTTACCAACTCTTTTTCCCCTCTTAATTCACTCAAAAGAGGTGTTCCCGTCTCAGGAAAAAACCCCATAAAACTAGAGAGGTAAACCATTTCTTCAGATTTTCTCCTCCTGGACTCATTGGCCTTTTCTCTGCTGCAATTACCATTCCTAGAGATTTACATTATGTTCATATGACTGTAGGACATTTCTAGAGAAGCCACTGTGTGCTTGGATTATTTCACTCTCCTCTGAGGTAACTCTGGGCAAAGGCACCTTGCATGTGGTGACAAAATGGGGATGGTGTTTTTTTGTTGTTGCTTAAGGCAGCAGTGCTTGAACAATTGAATAATCACACTGGTAACAGCAGTCTTTGCTGAGGGGGAAAGCATGGAGTGAGTTTGTTACTCATAAGATTGGGAACAGGGGGGACACAGTGGCAGTTTTCCCATTCTTCCTCCCATTCCCAGTAGGGAAGCAAACCCAGCTCATTGTGTCTAATCTTTGCTCTACTCCCTTCTTTCTGTTGTAGAAGTGGCAAGGCCCTGCATCATCTCATTCCTGGAAAGAAAAACATAGGTATTTTTGTGCTGCTGATAAGTCTTTGAGATGACTCCCCTTACCACAGCTTTCCAACCCAAGCAACACCTATTCCTCGTGGGTAGTCTTACTGGAGCAGAGCTGCTTGTGGCAACAATAAGAACTTGTAACAAAAGAAAAAAAGATTTAAAAAAAAAAAGCTACAGAAATTTTCTCTCCAAATTCTAACCCAGTTGAGGTTATGTATTTGGATGATTTTGAAGAAATCTTTTCTTTTATAAATATAGCCAGACAGAATTAGCTCTATGTGCAAAAAGCAAAATGAGTGAAAATAAAGACCCTATTGCCATGAAAATTATAATGCAAACTACTGCCAATACTTTACTGTTTTAAAGGACTGTTTGCAAGCCCTCCTAAAGCACTAGCCAAATAGGGCTTGCCTGGAACCAAAAGGCAGAGTATAAGCTGATCATGAGCTCGAGTGTATGGTCTACTGACTTTGTGGCAGCTCTTGGTCCACAACAGGATCTTGTGACAGAGGATCTTTGGAGTTTGTCTTCAAACACATTTGTCTTGGGGCTAACCATTCCTATGGCCAAAGCTACCAGTCCATATATCAGTATCTAAAACATTCTATACATGTGATAAAGTATATCTACCTAAATCCCCAGTAAATATCCATATCCTTTGCTTAAAGCAGTGTTGTTCAAAATCCTGGTACATAACTAGCATGATGTTCCACATATCATGCCACAGATCTGTTTCATGATGCTCAACACACAAATTTTCCCCCTCCCTTAAAAGGGATTCAGTTATTTTGCCATAAATGACACATATGGGACCTCATGCTGGCTGTGCTGTGAGAACAGTTTCAACTTTGCCGTGACCATCACTGCCTAAGAAATGCAAATGCAAACTTCAGTAATACCAGCTTGTCACGTTTGTAAAAGCCTAATTGCAGCTTGACTTTTCAAATTTTATTATAGGCATCGTGCACAGATGGAAAACTATTTAATCACTTGGAAACAGTGTGGCGTTTGAGCCCAGGTATCCCTGGATATCCAAGGACATGTACATTGGATTTTTCAGTAAGTATCATAATTAAGGAGCACTGCCTTAATTAGAAACACTGTCTTCAACTGTGTGGTTTTTTTTTTTAATGCCTGGTACTTTTTGTTAAACACAAATACACAGAAAACAAGTTAGTTTTAGTCAATACTATCCCAAAAGTATTTTGCAAACTTGACCACACAGAAACCACTACAGTGTCCTTTAGAGACAGGAATCTTCAGTGATGTGTCCAGGCATCAGAAAACAGTCTCGGGATGGGCACCTCTCACCATACAGTTCTAAACATGCTGAAGTTTTCAGACAGTCAAATACAGAGGGAGAAATGCTACACATAGTTTGCTGTTTCCTGTAATTATTCTACAGCCTAAGTTGGGAGAGCACCTACTTTCTGGTACCATCTGTCCTGTTGGGCCTGCAGTTTGGTCGATTTGCTTTCCTGGCTTTCAGTTTTACTCTGTCATGTATTTTAAGTCTTACTTTTTCCTTTTGGCATAATAGATTTTTCCTGTCTAATCTTTCTAATCTGTGATGGGATATCACTGCAGCCCAAACTATTGCTCTTTAAATCCAGTACCTGATTGAGCCTGATTTTACTCCCAGACAAGTTGTTTTCCACTCCAGTTAATGCTTTTCAACGTCTCTTTAGTCTGTCATCACATTTTTTTCTTGCATTTTATAGCATGAAGTGTAGGAGCTGCATTGAGCACATAAGTAAGCTGGGGATCACAACAGGCTGCAAAAGTGCACAGAGATGGGTTAATCCTGCCGCCATCTACTGGAATATTCTACTTTGAAAATTATCTTCAGTAAATAGGAAAAAGCTTTTGGGGTATTTTGAAACTAGCACATTAACCTCTTTGGGTTAAAAACTTTCAGCTTATTGCTGTATTTCACTTCTTACGGTTCAAGGATAAAAATTAATCTAGTGGCACTCAAAAAAATACATTTCTCATAGGATTTGTTCATGATGTTTGCACATTATTTGCTCTTGATATTTGAATTTCTCCAGGGAAATAAGTGCCAGTTCCTACTACTAACCAGTACATAAGCTAGCTTTTAACCCAAATCCTAAATCCCAAGCCATAAAAATCCAAGTTGAGAAAACTTGAATTAAACAACTATTTAAACCTATAATCTAAACACAGACTCTGCGAGGAAACACACAACCCACCCCCACACCAAAGCCACGTTTTTGACATTTCAGGTCACCTAAAGGGAGTCAAAACTGCACTGATATGGACATTTTCTGTGTCTTGGGGGAACACTATGGACACATCTTACTGCTCACCCCTTTTTGAGGCAGCAGCAGCCAGTGCAGCCAGCTGAGCTGGGGCTGCCTCCCTAGGGCCTTAACCCTTGCTAGTTCTGCCTCTGGGCACATGCAGACAGGAATGATAAGCATTTCACAACCAACTCCTCAAAACATGCTGTGCAATTACAGATATTGGAGAGAAAACTTTGATTTCAAGAACACTTGTTTGCTTTAGAAAATGTTACTTGAGCTTTGGGTTATGCCGGTTCCCAGAAGCTGCTGTATCCTGTTTTGCCAGCCTGATTCCAGGAGACATACATATCCAGCAGGGAACTTCCCTAGTTTGGTTTCAGCTCTGAAATGATTTGGTACATAGACTGAAACACACCACCACTCTTACCATCTGCAAACTTCCTAAGTGTATGTATAGAAATGCACCACACCTCAAGATTTACGAAATTCCTGAGCATGATGCCAGATTCATTATCCCTGCTCTGCAGAACTCTGCATGCCCTGAATGATAAGTCTCTGACTTACAAAATACACATTAATTTTACTGTTGCTTGAGGTCAAGAACATGTAAATGAAGCTACACTTGGCTTTTGGGCCAAGTCATTTGGTTACTTCTGTTCTACAGCTTTGTAGTTAATGTGCATTGCTCATAAGGACTTTGGGAGAAGCTGTATTTGCTCCATTTGGCATTGAATCTGCTGATTTCTCAGAGATGACACAACTACTTCAATCTCAATCCATTCCATTGACTGCCCATGTCAGGTTGGGAGTAGGAGCTGTTCAGGTGGGAGATAAAAAACAAACCAAATCTGTAGTTTTAGTTAGTAAACTGCTTGTTTGAACATACCAGAACTACTGCCACCAATAAGGACTAATTTAAAATATTGGTATTTAATAAGTAACTATTTCAAGCTGCTTTTAAGTCTCTTGGGTGTGCTCCAGCTTACCTGTAAGTCTGCTGTCTTGTCATGCAGGATTTTTCTTCAGACAACTTTTAGTCCCCCAAGTGAATCCTGTGCACAAAGTTATTGTTTGTCAGTAGTTTTTCATTATCCCAAATCCGTTTTGTGATACATTATTTATTAAAGACAGCTTAGGTAAATGATTACTTCAGAGAGCTGAATGAAAGGATTCTTCTAATTCAAAAGCCCAGGGGAACAGTCCTGAGACCAAGAAACACAGCTTTTCTTCACAGACACACTTACCTTTACCTCAGAAAAAACTGTTCTTTCTCCCACAACTTACTTGAAAACTTCACTGGAGATTCTTTAACAGAGTTGTCTATTTGTAACAGCATTTTATCACAACAGCAGATAACAGGAAAAATATTTCTTCTCTATTGTCTTAAACAGGTTTCTTTTGAATTTCGTTCACTTCTACACTCAAAACTTGCTACACTGTTTTTTGATGAAGTGGTAAAGCAGATGGTTGCTGCCTTTGAAAGAAGAGCATCCAAACTCCATGGCCCAGAAACCAGCATACCTCGGGAGCTGATGCTCCATGAAGTTCATCAGACGTAAAGGGACAACTGTAACCACCTCAGTTATAACCTTGTTTGTACACTTCGTTTGTTCTAAGTGCCATGCTCCACCTTTGGGGCATCTATTTCTTATCTGAGCTGTGTGTTAAGATTTTATACTGTACCAAACATACCTGCTCAGCCAGACCTGTATAGAAAGTTCAAAAGCTGCAATCAAGTGCAACTTAAAGCCTTATCAGTAACAGACAACCGGCAGCTACTGTAACCCAACATACCTCAGGCTGCCGTTAACGTGCAAACGGCTCCTGTAATCACGGTCCAAGTTCTGCCTCATCCAAGCTCGTGATTTTTCTTTTAGCACTGTAACATATTAACTCAAGTTTAAGTTATTAGTAGTGTGACTGTAATTTAACAGCGTCAACTCAGCCAGCTCTGGCCAAGCCAAGGGGAACCGACATTCTGGCTTCACAGAGAATGGAACACTTTGCCAGGCACCGAGTGGTGGGTGCTTTCAATCCAGATTAATGGCAAAGGTGAGTCAGGAATCTCTGGCTGCTCCTGAACTGACCTGCAAGTGCTATAGAACACCCTCAACTGTCAGAAACCAAATGCAGGGGATACACATAAGGAGTACTGTAATCTGAATGCAGCAGTCTCAGCCACAGCCAGGGGTTCCCAGTGGATCCGTCTGGGCTCCAGATCACTTTGTAGTACATTTGGCAGGCTGAGCTTGCCCCCCCCCTACTCCTGCACCCTTAAAGTTGCACTTCAGTTAGTTACTCATCTAATGCAAACAGTTCCCACACTGTAAAACAAGGAAGTGTTACCTCTTTGAGAGCAAGGGACCACAGTACTGTCCTCCCTGGAAGAAGGGAACAAGATGTCCTCTGCTCCCTGCAGCCAAGCACACCCACAGCTAGCTGTCATTAAAAAGGATACAAGAGCACTAAACCCCTTAGTTCTTAGAGGTTTTTCATTACCATACTACCATTTTATTATCAGCCCATTACAGCACCAGCTGTCCTGATTAAATCCACATTCAGTACTTCTGTCCCTGGCATAATTATTCTTTCCAGTCTCTGAAGAAACACAGGTGAATAGGTTTGAATAGATTTTAAATCCTCACTGTGTGCTGCCTCGCATTACCCAATTTCCTTTACTGAAATTAGGTGAAGCTCTAGGTCAGGTGCTGAAGCTGCTCCTTTCTCCAAAGTGTCTGTAACCCACGTGGTTACTACAGGACAGCATGTCACGGAACATAGGAAGGTATGTTTCAGAATAAAGACAGCCCTCAAACAGTTTCAGATCGTTTACTTTTCCAGAAAGAGGAGTTGGCATGGCACATGTCCCCTCTGTGAAGGACAGTTATTAAGGGCAGGAAGCTGAGGAAAGTGACAGCTGGATTGAGGTCAGTTTTACAGCACTGAGAAATTGTACAGCAATTTCGTTTGTTGAGGCAATCAGAGATGAGCATACAGAAGTTTGGGAACACCATTGTTCTGCAGTTTGGAAAGCAGACGACTTTACACATCACTGGTATTAGCTTTGTCAGGTCAAAGAACCCAGTAAGTGGCAAAGCAACATTTCTAATGGTAAAACAGCATCTAGTGCAAAATAACTAAATTCTGCAACCCATTACCAGAAAGGAAGACAAGACTGGAAGGCTTAAAATGAGGAGGTAACCATATATTACACCTGATCAAAGGAACTGTTTAAAACCTCCCCAAACCCTTTCTTAGGCAAGACTTACCTGTTTGACACCCTCAGGGCACTTCCCTTCCTCCAAACTGTGAAAGGTGCACTGGGCCTGTTCAAGCACATGAAACAACCAGCATAGACAGGGCAAAATAAAGCCATTGCACGTGCCATGTTTTCAGAGCATTGTTTAATATTTCAAAGAACTGTAGTGCAGTTCAGCTTAGGTATTTCTTACCAAAATTAAAGTCACTTGCATTTCTGAGAAACATTCTAGACAAAGGAATGTTTCTCAGCGTGAAATGCCCTGTCATTTTTTCAAGCATTAAGTGTCTATTTCTAGTAAATCTTAAGAGGCAGGCTGTCCAGGCTCTCCCATAACTATGGCAGATGAAAAAGGTGATACATTTTTGTAACTTTTGAGCAGTTTATTACATAAAGGTCACATAACTCTATTTGCCTACTTTGTACACAATTGTCTAGTCTCACGCACAGTGGCTTCCAAGTTCTTCCTAGTACTGGCAAGCACCAAGAAATTCTGTAATAGAATATCAAGTGCCTTAATTAAGTTCAAATCAGGACCTCGGTAGATGGATCTTGCACCCAGTTATCAGGAATGTACAAATGTCTTTATTCAAAAAATACAAAATAAATTATCTGTAGGCATGGACAATGACTGTAAACAATTACACGTGTGTTAAATGAAATCCAGTAACTGATGGTTACAGTGATTTTTCAACACCAGCCTCACTTCAGTCACTATCCACCCTCTGACACTGATAGCTCAAGTTTTTAAAGTCAGAACTGTCAGTCTTCAACAGCACAGCTCATGATGCATCCCTACCCCAGGAATTAGAACATGCCACCTCCCATTCCTCCGCCCATGCCACCCATTCCTCCCATTGCTGGCTCCTTCTCTTCTTTGGGAACCTCAGTCACCACTGCTTCTGCTGTCGATAGGAGAGACGCGACACCGGCGGCGTCCATCAGAGCAGTTCTCACAACCTAAAACCAGGGAAGAAATAACTTAATGCCTGCTGGCTACCACAGGAGGTGGGAGGAGAAGCTGAGAATTAAGACTTTTAGGTTACCTTTGTTGGGTCTATGATTCCTTTTTCTACCATATTTACAAAGTCCCCAAGCATTGCATCATAGCCAACTTCTGACGGGCTCTGCAGGATTTTCTCAACTATCAATGATCCTTCGACACCAGCATTCTTTGCAATAGTCATTGCTGGGATTTTCAGTGTTCTCTTGATTATATCAATCCCTGCAAGAAAAAGGGTGGTCAGAGCTATGTTTTGCATACACTGCTCCCACTGCCAAGGCCTGCCTGCACGAGCTGCTGGAGATCAATACAGAGAACACTCTGAGCAAAAACATAATCTATTTGTATCAGTTCTAGGAGGAAAGGTTCTCTGCTACCTGACATTTGTCAACAAATGAAACCTTTGCGGGACATTCACACACATTTTAGTTTTACTACATTTTGAAGAAGTCAGGAGTACTTGTTATGTGTAATATGGCACAAAGCCTTTTTCCATTTGATTTGCCACACAATCTCTTAAGCATTATTAGATTTTTCATCTCTCTGCAATGGCTGGGAACAGTCAGCTCTCAACTTCAACCATTTGCCACTCTCTGCAGGGGGCACTGCTGCTTTAGTGTTACTGGGTCTTTCACAGTCAAGTCAGGCACTCAGTGAAACCTCCCTCCCCCTGAAAAGCAGAGACCACCATACCAAGGGGGTGTGAGGTTCCTGAGATCAAGTAACTAAAAACTCACTGGAAGCAACCTGCATTTCATCTGAGAAAGCCTCAAGTCAGGACAAAGGCTACTCGCAACACTTCCACACACATTCCAGTAACTTCCTCACCAATTTTCTGATCCTCATTGGCTGGGGTTAAGGCATCTAACGCTGGAATGCAGCGGAGCAGCGCGCAGCCCCCTCCCGGGACGATGCCCTCCTCCACGGCAGCGCGGGTCGCGTTCAGGGCGTCAGTGACTCTGTCCTTCTTCTCGTTCACCTCAACGTCGCTCGTGCCGCCGACCTACAGGCAGCAAGGCACACGTCAAGGTCCACACGAGGAGCCCGGGTGGGAGAGCACTGCTGGCTAAACACTGCTGCCCCCAAATTAAACAACCAAGAGCACTGACAAGTGCCAAAAAGCCAATCCAGCCTCTCCCGTGCTGGCAGCCTTCTGTACCTCAGCAGTCAAGAAACCTAACCACAGTTTTAGTTCATTATCTCTTAATACCTTCAATACTGCTACTCCATCAGAGAGTTTGGCCAATCGCTCATTGAGTTTCTCCTTTTCATATTCACTGGTGGTGACCTCAAGCTGCTCGATAATTTCTTGAATGCGCTTTTCAATCTGAGCCTTTTCACCCTTCCCCTTCAGAAGCATGGTGTCATCTTTGGTCACAATGACCTCTCCCACTTTACCGAAGTCGTGAGGCTGAATATCTTCCACATTTAGGCTCAAACCCTCTTCTCCAAACACCTGAAAGAAATTACGTGAAAAGCTGGAATTCACAGGTTCCCCATCCATCAATTTTTTTATCTATAGGCACATGAACACATACAGCTAATGGTGCAAAATAATCACACTACTGCAGTTGAACAACACTCTTCCCTTCTCCTTAAAGGAGTCCAGGCACGCAGGTACCTCACGAACTGACCCTCACAGAATGGAAAACGAGCAGCTTCTCACTCGTGCCTGACTCGTGTAGCTCACTGATTCAAAGTGCCTGGGAAGTAAAGTAGTGTTATAGAGTCCTCACAGAATATCCTGACTTGGAAGGGCCCCACAAGGATCACCCAAGTCCAACTCCTGGCCCTGAACAGGATAAACCCACGAATTACACCATTACAGAGCACTGTCCAAACACTTCTTGAACTGTGGTGCTGTGACCACATCTCTGGGAGCCTGTTCCAGTACCCAACCACCCTCTGGGTGAAGAACCTCTTCCAAATATCCAACCCAAACCTCCCCTGACACAGTTTCATGGCGTTTCCTCAGGTCCTGTCACCGGTCACCTCAGTGTACTTTGAGAAGTTAAAAATATTGGCACTTCACAGACTTTTTAAAACAGTTTGTTGGCTTGTTACTTTGTGCTGCAGTTAGCTTAAACATGAAGTTTTATTTCAATAGCCTCCTTTGCGTCCCAGTATCATGCCATGATTTTGAAGTATGTGTAACAATAAGGCACATAAAGGGACACTAATCAGTGCACCAAGTATATGCAAAGTTTAGTGCTAAGAAAACCATTCAGTCAATTCTACACATTTTCAGTTATTATATTTGCCACACTTGAGTTCAGGCAATTGTGAGACAATCAGTTTTATGAGGCAGCAAGAAAGCTTTGTTATATTTCTAAGATACTGTCTTGGAGTTCCTCCTTCCCTTTAACAGCCTAAATCCTGCAAGGAAATCACGTGTGACTTCAGTCAGTTACAAGGATGTACTGCTCATGGTTGGCCAGGGCTGTATTACACAGCAATTTTCAGTGTCTACATTTTAAAAAGAACAGAAAGATTCTAATATTAGAGTTACTGTTACATTTT